AAAAAAAATTAAAGAAAACAAAACATGAACTTGGCCGATGTAACCCACTGTCTCGTTTTTAAATCCTCAAGACAAGCCATTTTCTCCATCACCATCTTGGTTTTTTAAAAATCAGATATGATGAAAAGGGCAGATTGGACCGTCAAACTGCATGCTCATTGGCTAACTACTTGAAACAATCTTCCATTTCTGACCATTACTTAATCGTTTTTCTCCCAAGCTCACCCTGAAAATAATGACTAAATACAGCAGGAAAGTGTTTAGAGAGGTCACATTTGGAAACTGTTTTTCTTTCTATAATAACAAAATTCTTTTTACAAGCCCTAGGTATTGTCCCCTGGTGGCCATTAAAAAGAATAGAATTTTAAGACATTTCTTTTTTTTTTTTTTTTTTTAAACTGTCTGAGTCTGCACCTTTATTTAAAACAAAAAACAAACAAAAGAATAAAGGCTGGAGCTGTGTTAGAAGGGGTAAAGTTTTGTGTAATGAGCAAGCAGATTTAGTACATTACATTAACAAAACAAATCAAGCAATATTTTGGTTGGTACAAACCCAATAACTTTTTGGAATGATCAACCAGATTGGGGAGTCCTTCCTCGATGTTGTATGAGATTTGGCCCATTTCTTGTACGAGGTCACCTGCCCTCTGAGTGAAAAAAAATAGGCGAAATTACTAATTTAAAAAAATAAAATGACATTGTAACTTGAATCCTGGAAAAAAAACATACAAAGTTAGGAAAACTCTACCTTGAGCTCTGAATAAACTTTCTCCTCCAGCGCAGCCACCTGAGATATGGCATCATACACACTGGTATCCAAAACTGATTCCTACATCACAAAAAGAGTGAAAAAAGTTTTAAAAAAAGTTAAATCTGAGAAACTTCCACACAGGTTATAACTGGATTCATGCTGTGCAAGCTTACCTCTTCTGAGGAGCTATTCATTGGCTCCTGTGTCTTAGGTGCTTCACTGGCTTTGGAATTGCCATTAAGTTCCTTCACTCTGCAGAAAATGTTTCAAGCTTCATCATACAATAAGGCGACTGAGAATTCCCATTAGAAAACCCCCCCCAAAAAAACCAAAAAGCCCACAGATTCAGAGCTTCATATGCTAAATACATACCTATCAGCATAGCGCAATGTGTTCATTGTATATTCACATGAGGTCATACCTGGAGACACCATAGCAATCTGTGAAAAAGAAAAAAAATTATTTGATGTGGATTTCAAAATATCCAATGCTGAGAGGAAGTCAAATTTGGTGTGGTAACATACCATGCAGGTCCTGGACTTCTCTCCAATGAAAGAATCCCTGAGGACTTTGGTCAAAGTGCTCATTCGGAAAGGAATGTGATCACTGTTCTTTCCCAGTGAACGGATACACTCCTACAGGATACAAGAGAGGAAACACCAGCGTTTTGAGTTGCTGTGCATACATATTTAATGGAGAGAAAACAGAGTACTTCTGCCTTTTAATTAACTATCGCTTACCTTGAGAGCCAGAAGGCTGCGATTGATCTCGGCAGTTTCAACTAAAGTACTCCGGTCATTGCTGCTGACATCTGTACCACGCTCATTGCCAGCCAAATCGACCAGTGAAAACTTGCCGTACAGCGTGGTAGCACGGTCATTGCGCCGAAGAACAATTTGAAGGATTGCATGAGAGCGGGATGAGTTGGCATTGGCTGAGGTTTGGCCCGACGTTCTGGAAAAGACAGTGAGATTCTAACTTAGAGTTTGCCTACCTACACTAATGTGTAATTAATAAGTTTTTGTGCTCTTTCAGCCACAAAGAAAAATGCACAAGGAAACATCAAACACATTTTTGATACTAAACTACCTGCACGAACTGCCAATCTGTATCATCTTGATGACCTCCTCTGCTGAGGTCACATAGATCTCTTCGAGGCCGACCACCTGAACCTGTTGTCGTTCATCTTCCAAAACACGCAGCTTGGCCTTCTTATGCAGCAGGTCATACACCTAAATAAAAATAAATAAATAAATAAAGGTCTAGTTTGTTATATGGATTAATTGAACACGTGGATTCAATAGATATCTTCTGAGTGAAGGGTGTTCCCTTCACGTTTTCCTACCTTGCCATTGTAAATCTCAAAGAAGCTGACGTAGGCAGAGAGATCCAAATTAGCATACCTCCTGTGGTGGAGGTAGGCAAAAACATCCTGGGCTAGAAGTGAATAGACTCAAATTATGACAAAGTCTGTTTTTTGTACAAAATCCAGTTGTTTCATTTAAGGTCCTACCTGCTAATGCGTAGATGCCTTTAGCACTGTTCTGCTGCTTCCCTGTGAAATCACCTCCCATTGTCTTAAAAACAAATAAGTCTTTGAATAAATTCCACATTTGCAAAATTGTGCTTCAACCCCCCCCCAAAACAAACAAACAACAAACAACAAACCAACCAAACAAACCCCTCAAAGTCTTAGATCAAGTGGAGACTTACATGAGTCTTACCACTTCCTGTCTGGCCATAGGCAAAACATGTTGCCATACCACCTTCAAAAATGGACTGGACTAAAGGTTTAGCTGTGAACCTAAAGGAAAATCAGAATTTTAGTCATCATGACATTAACAGGAAAATTACAGCATGTATAAAAGTATACATCGAGTCTCCATTGTACTGGTCAATGTCCCAGTTGAAAAAGCTAAGTTAGAAAATGTACAATCAGAGCCACTGTTGGCTTAATTAAAGGAAAAATGAGGTAGTTACTTGTAGACAAGTTCATTGGTGGCGGTCTCATCAAAGGAGTAGTCAAAGTGGAAGACTTGATTGTCCAAGTACTTGGTGAGGTCCACCTTGTGTTTTGGCTCATGGACCAGTAACGCACCTTTCCCAGGTACAGACACCACATCAATCTCCTTTTTATTAATCTCTACAATACACAAGAGTATCGGAGTTAGTGTATAAACATGGCAACTGTTTTCTCTCCCTTAATTACTCCTTTATATTCAGACGATAGAATAGAGAATCTACAAATTATTCCTGACCTACCCTGCTTGTTAAAGGGCCGCTTGCGAACGCACACACAAATCCTTTGGGGCTCAATCTTAAAAAAGGCAAGAGATGTGCAGAGAAATGACTGTGCTACAGTTTGCAAAGCTACAATAAAACTTTCTGGACGGAACATTGTAAGTCCATGTTCAAACTTACCGTTTCAGTAGTTGATAAGGGTGTGATTTCCAAAGTCGCTCTGAAATCCTGAATCATCTCAAAGAACTTCTGGTTGGGCCGGGAACCTTCCAGAAACTATAAAGACAAGCAAACAAAAGGTACTGTAACAAAATGAGGAGTAGTTTTGCTCATGTTTAAAACAATTTACATATAAAAAAAAAAAAAAAAAAAAAAAAAAAAAAAAAAGGAATAATGGTTGAAGAAATGTTTCACCTTGCCCCTCTTGGTTTGCATATCTGGGGGCTTTATAACACAAGAGAGCCTTTTATTGCCTTTGTTCAACTCCACGGGAGCCACAGATTTCCTTCTGCCTGAAATGTGAAAAAACAAAAAAACAATATACACACTGAAATAAATAAATGAGATGTTAACACCTAATACCAATAAAATGGGTTACATACCTCTAACTGTGGATGGAGGAGGCATTTTCTCAGGTTCATCATTTTGCTTTATGGCCTCAGGAACAAAAGGCTGCAAAGTCGCTGGTTGTGTATCATTCCTTTTACGCTGCTGATTCGGAATTACTAGATGACAAAAAACAAATATACTTCAGATTTAACAGAAGGAAAAGACCAAACTATTTCTTCATACATTTAAAGTACTCAGAAACTTACTCAAATACATTTTAACAGGTACATGATATGACTTTGTACCCTGCAGATGACCAAATGCATATGGCATGGTCACCAACAACAACATGTTGTTAAATGAAACAGATGTGGCTCTTATTAGACCGCGTTATGCATTTGAACAAATCTTTTTGTTTTCTGTCTTAAATGAATAAGTAAATCACAACCAACCAGAGTTTTTGAGGACTGATGATGGGGGTAGATCGGGATGTATGGTTTCTGGGTTAGCTGAAAATGATTCTGTAGCTGAGACTGGTCCTTGAACAGAACCTGGGGCCTGAAACATACATGTCTGCCGAGCCTGGGACCGAGTAGCAACTGAAAGTGACACAAAACCAAGTCAAACTGCTGAAATATGAGTTTATGCAATTCAGACTGATTATTAACAGCATTATCAATCTGGATTAAGACAGCCACTACTGGTAAAATGGAGGAGAAAGAGGAAAAACAAAACAAAACAAAACAAAAGCAAAGCTGTACGAGGCTGTCTGGCAAAACACAAGTGACACCAACAGTAAATTCACCACTTATTTTTCTAAAAACAGAACAACCAAATTAGACATCCACGGTGGTAGAAAAGTGTGTTTTAAGTGAATAACAAAGATATGAAACACTAATGTGCTGGTCATTAAAATGGTTCTAAGTCCTAAAAAAATGACTCTAGGCCACTGTACATGCACTGTTTATTCTCCAATGAATTGATCAACCAGTGATAACAATCAGCGGTCCTTTTTATAGCACAATCTTATTTCTCAACAGGCAGAATTTAAGGACGAAGAGACAAAAAAAACAAAAAACAAAAAAAAAAACCCCAAAACATTGCTGCATATGCATATACAATCACCCAACACCTAAGTGTGTTGATTTGCACCCCTTGTGCTTTATCATTAATTTAATGTACATCTAAAATCTGGGAGCAGAGTTCAGCTCTTGCAGGACTGTCACTCCTCGCCCTTGCACCCATAACCAAAACAGGACAGATTTGCTTTAACAAAAAACATGCACGCCGTGCCGACCTGACTCTTCAGTCCTGGTGACTGCTGTAGTAGAAGCTTTTGGAAGGAAAGAAGCCATTAGGCAACAGTACTTAACATTTACACCTGACACACACAGAGACTCAATATTTACATACAGGAGGAAGGTGCAGGAATCCTAGAGGAGCGCAGTCGACCCTCGTATTTCTACAGAATAAAAACAGAAAGAAAACTGTATAATGCTCAGTCCAGTCAGCCACTTAACTCCCTCATAAGAAGCACCGTGTACTTATGTGTAATATAAGTTATTAGAACATCATTCTGCATGTAGTTACATCAAACAGTATAAAAGCGGGGGGAGATTTTTAAATCCAGATGATGTACTATGAGGTGCAAAATAAAAAAATAAAGTTATTTATCACTTATAAAACAACGTGTGGAGTAGAGCATTGCTTCAGGTTTGCTCATGGGAAGTCTTCATTTACAACTACAGTTGTGTTCCTTTTGGATTACACCTCATACAGCATAAGGCTTCTACTGAACATTCAAATTCAACTCACATGCATCCTTACCTGAAATAAGGGTCAACTTAATGTCACAGGAGAGGCTACACAAGGAAGCAGGATCATCTAACCTTGCTGTCATCTGGTGACTGACAGCAAGGTTAATGTAATAAATTATGAGAAAAAACAATGTAGGCTAGCACTCACCTTTTCTGGAACATGAGTCGGTGGGTCAGGAGTTGAGCTTGTGATTGAATTTATAGGGTCCAAAACCTCTGGATTGAGTATACATAACTCACTTAGATCAATCTAAAACACAGAAGAAGAAGCAGACTCAGCATATAGGATATATTAATGTATACTTGGTTGATATCACCTCAGTTACGACATTACTGACCCCCTTTCCACGGCACATGTTCCTCTCATGCCACTCAACCATAACTGTGGACTTGTCAACGGATTTCACCGTGGCCGAATGGACTCGACCTAGTTTACGTACATAAAAAAAAAGCATGCCTGAGCTAACTTACCGCACACGGGAAGTACAAAAACACATAATACGAACGGATTTAATGCAACATGAGCTCACCATCACTGCGGCTGATCTGGACAGAGAGTCCAACGAGAAGTCGGGACAGGCTGTTCTCCATGATAGCGCCTTCTTAAAAAGCTGAAAATAATGAAGGTAACGTTAGCGTATTAAGTATCCAACTCATTCTCTACCAGTTGTGCTGTCGTCGCTGTGAAAATATGTCGCCTTTTCAGGGAAACGTAAAGTTTGATAAAACCAAACCGTCAGTCGTTTCCATATGTTTATTTTTAGTTTCTTTCAAGATAAAAATCACACTTACCTTTTACCCGTACCAAACTCAACAGCGCCCAGAATTTAAACTGGCGTTATTTCCGAGTATTTAAGAATCTGATTGGTCTTCGTCATTTCATAGAGGCCAGCGTTCTTCTTCTACGGATTTATAGGTGGTATTTAAATCGATGTTACACTGCCACTCATCGGACAAGTTAGGAAGAACCGCTACAGTTGTGCAAATGGAAGAACTTCGATACACTAATTCAACCAGACCAGCTCGGTAAGATGTTGCTGACTTGAAATGTTGTGTTTTATCCACGCAAGCAAACAAAAGCAGAAAAGCAGGCTAGTAACATTTATTTTAATAGACAAGTGCTTTACAAGAAATACACATCATACAGTACGGGATTTAAATGTGTGTATATATATGTGTATATATATATATATATATAACAACCGTGGGCTATAGTAAATAAAGCTAATGCTAATAATAAAGGAATGTAAGAATTAAAGTTAAAATGACCAAATACTCATCACTGATATTTATCCTGAACTCAACTAAATTTTATTTTCTAAACCTTAACTGAAACTGAAAATAAACATGATATAAAATCATTATATAACCAGCAATCGTTTAGCAAGAAATTTCTCCATGACTTTATCTGTCTCACGTATCAGTTGTAGCCCTTTGATTTACAACATTGTTTTGGTTCATTTTTTTCCTCGGGCATTTCTTACACACAGCTCTCTTAATCAGTTAATCATGCTGAGATCTGGACTTTGACTGGGTCGTTGCAACACATTTGTTCTTTTCTTTTTCTGCCATTCTCGTGTGGATTTGGTGCTGTGCTTGGGATCATTGTCCTGCTGTATGCTGTAATTTTGGCAAACCTTTAGCTGTCATTGCCTCACATTTGACTCTAGAATACAGAGGACGTCGTGATCAACTCAGTGACTGCCCAAGTCCTGTGGCTGCAAACCAATCCTTACTCATCACCCCTCCATCACTGTGCATTGCAATTGTTGTAAGATGTTTGTCCTGATATGCTGTGTTTGGTTTTCAGTGTGCATTATGACCAAAAATCACCACTTTGGTCTTTTCTGTTCAACAGACATTGTTTCACAACTCTTGTGGTTTGTTGAGATGCAACTTTGGAAACCTAAGTCGTGTTGCTGTGTTCTTTTTAGAGAGAATAGACTTTCCCCTTTCAAATCTTCCAGACAAGCCTTATTTGTTCAGTATTTTTCTAATCGCAGTTCAACATTTAATACCCTAACGGAGGCCTGTAAAGTCTGAGATGTAGTTTTTGGATTTTTTGCAGTTTCTGTGAGCATTGCATGACCTTGACCTTGGGATGAATTTCCTGAGATGTCCGCTCTTGGGAAGATTGTAACATTGTGTTAACACACACCTGAATGCTCCAGACCAGCAAACTACCAAAACTCCTATTTTCATAGTTTGGTCACACTTGCAGATGCTTAATTAATGACACATGCATTTGATTGGCAGCACCTGGCTGTTACTTACCCTCATAATTCCTTTGGAAAGAGTAGGAGTGTAGTTAGTTTTGACAGGACTGTATCTACTTATTTGGTAGAAAGTCCAGACTACTCCCACTCGCTTCAAATGTAACCTGATAGCAGTGCAGCCTAGAGTTTAACTCGCTACAGATCACTATGAGATGTGAAATTAAAAATAATGACAGAAAACAGACCGATGCATTTCTCAGAATTCACATTTGCCACATTATGGAGTAATTAGACTTTCAGCAATACAACATTGCACTATGACACAGTGATTTTGTTATCTTAACATGAACAGGCTAACAACTGAGCTACTGTAGAACCACAGAACACATGTTTACATGTAGATCACATAAAACACTGTTCTGTGCAAAATTTTATTTTAAATTTTGAAATACTTTTTAGATCATAGGAATATTACCAATGAAACCTAAACAACAAATTTAGAGACATTACAAGTACAAACTGTAGTCTTGTTTTCCATAGTCCAATGGCAGCCATGCTGATATTGGACTATTTATTTGGTACATCCATACAAAATATAATAAAATGCTGCAAACAAATATAATTGCAGTTTTTTTCAGTGGGAAGCTATTTTTTAATTTGAAACAATAGCGGCATTATCATGACATCACTGAAACCAAACAGGCCTCTTTTAATATTACATTTATAGATATTCCAGTCCGTGAACACATCCCTGATCATTCCACAGTGATCCCCAAATGTGCTAAAAGCTGATCTATTTAGCCTATTGCATTTCATGCTTGCGACCACAAGAATCCAGTGTTTATCCACACGCTGCCTCTCTTCTCACACTCACTGCAAACCAGGCACAACATTTCAGTCCTCCGTGACATCAACAATCAGGGACAGCTGGAGAATGACCCATAATGCAGTTCAGCCTTGCCTTCAGTGTGGGAGGCTTCCCATTTTTTTCTCTTTTCTTTTTCGCCCCTTAGCCTCCCCGCTACGTGCCCACACCCTCTCAATTTCCAAACCTCCTAACTATACACAAGCTAGACTTATGTATACACATTCTCCACGAGCGAACGCTGACACATGACAAATCAAAGCTCTAATAAACAGCTTGCGCTGAACAATTTCCCCCCCACCACCAAAGGATGAAAAATAAACAAATCCCTGTCGGTTGAGCGTCCAGGCCATTTGGTAGGTCTGTCTGTTGATGACTGGGTGGCCCAGGGCTGCTTGGTGTGAGGCCTGGGATGGAGCCACAACTGTTTCCTGTGGGCAGCCCAACCCCCAGAACCTCTCCACAACTGGCTTAGTGGGTGGTATTCCCCTCCTCCCTTTTTTTTTCCCTCTCATCCCCTAAACCTCTAGACCCTCCTCCCTCCTCCCTCCTCTCCTCTCCAAGCAGTTCTCCTTCCCCCTTTTCCTCCCCTTACTCTGTCAGTCCATCCATTCTCACAGCCATAGTCCTCAGCTCAACACTTCCCCAGTGGCCTCAAGTGGACCGAGTAAGATAAGAAAAAATGTAAAGAAACCTTGTCTCTGTGTGCACTTAGTCCAAGTATGCCCTCGTCATTTACATAAAGCTAGAAATTGTCACAAAGGTGTGATTTTTGCCTGATTACAAAAACATTTGGGGGGGTTAGTAAAGTATCACACATCCTCATCCACATTTTCTTCTTTTTAACACATATATTTAAAGCTATAACACATTGTTTCTCTTTTTCAAGCTTTAAACTACAAAATAAACCATGAACCAGCTGACAGTGCACATCATTAAAATGTTCTTTGAATTGACTCGCTCGGTGATGATGTTTTATCACTTCACATATGTCTGTCCCAAAACTGAGCACGAGCTCTTGTAAATGCACATCCTGTTATACACAGGCTAGGTCACGGGAATGTGAAATAATGTAACAAAACAGTAGCATCTGTGGCTTTATGCTTTTGTTATTTTCATATACCTTTTGTGCGTGTTTATTCAGATTTTTCTCATGACTTTGTGACTGTTGCGGAGAATGTCTCGCACATGTTGCAGAGACTTCAGGGTGGGCTTTCCCTTCAAGCAGCCAGCTCTGTTCCACATTTGTTTGTTCATACTGATAAGGGTTCAATACTTGGCTGAAAAACACTAGAAAAAAACAAACTGAAAATTGGGGTTTTTGAGTTCAAGTTTCCTCTTTGAAACACCAAAGTTGGCTTCAACGCTGTCACGCCACGCAAAGATCACAGTTGCCGAAAAGACACAGCGGCATTTTTAGGTGCTGGCTTCACGGCGTCGATTGTTGGTGGTGTTTGATCCGAAGAAGAACGCAGTCTTGTATCTGTTGGCCCTGTCACTGTTTAACCGCTCCCCTTTTTTCCACCCGTCCAAAAGCATATTTTCTCAGTGTAAAGAAAATTGGCGGAGGCCGTAGCTCTGTTCCTCTATACAGACTAAATAAACATGCGCATGCATACTGTACGTGAGCTGAGCACACTTGTAAACCACCCAGGAAGGCTGACAGACGAGGAGAGGAGCAGTGAGAGAAACAGAGAAGGAAAAACTGAACTACTTTTTCATATTCTTTCTTTTTTGTATGATATTAATAGCAATAATAATTCTGTAACCCTTGCCAAACCTAACACTAATATGAAATTAGGTCTTTAGAATAAGTTTAGCATTTGGGTGTAAGCTGTCGGCGAGCATTAGTCAGTTTTTCCCTAAATATGAAGCGGACTTTAATTCTGTGTCAGCTTTATAGTGATGCTGAAATACTGACCAATGAGGCAGTTCGTAGTGGGCATGTGATTTGCTATAATCATGTCTGTAATGTGTGGTTTTATCAAATGGTTTTCTTCTTTTTTATCTTTCTAAGTATTTCCTAAATATATAGGGTCTGTATTGCATTTTACAACATGACCAGCAGAGAGCAATATAACTACAAACAGAACTGGCAGCATGCAGTCAGGTACAGCTAACTGTGGGATTTGAAATAAAAGTGCTGACAGGACTCAAGATCCAGTATTAGAATGCAGGTTTTCTTCTTTTCCGTAGCATAGCTTTGGGTCGGTACGTGCTGTTCCATAACTGAACCCTCTGCGCATCCAGCAGGGAATTAAATCTTCTCAAGCCAGAGAGCTAAACGTGCAACTGGAACATTCACTCATTAAAGCATGTTCGTATTCTTGGCATGTGGAGATCCAGTAAATAATGCCAGTGACCCATTTTTTTTCTTTCCATGCCATTATTTTAAAAAAGTAAGTACTAAATTTTCTCTTCAGCCACATCATTTCAAGCTTTGGAGTCATTCACTGAGGACTTCTCTCACCTTTGAACTTGTGAGTGCAGCCACACAAAGTTCTATTTTTTCCCCACTGCTCGCAAATGCATATTTGTTTCTTCAGCAATAATTTTATTTATTTATTTTGGCACAGAAGTAAACAGTGGTTCATGCAGTACCTGCAATTACAGTAACACTATGGGCATGTGTTTTCGGCCTGTACATTAATGTAATTATTATTTTTATACCTAAAGTTAAAAATGCAATTAATAGAATCATTATTATGGGCACAGAAAACTGGCTTTTTGTTAATGATTAGCCAGCAGTGTATGTTATATACACTGCTGGCTAATATTACAGATCCACTAGAATCTAGTCAGCACACTCAGTAAGATAAATATTTAAATA